CCTCCCGAGTAGCTGGGACCACAGGAGCCTGCCACCACGCCTGGCTAATTCTTTTGTATTTTTAGTAGAGACGGGGTTTCCCCATGTTGGCCAGGATGGTCTCGATCTCTTGACCTCGTCATCTGTCTGCCTCGGCCTCCCAAAGTGCTGGGATTACAGGGGTGAGCCACAGAACCCGGCCCTTGATCTATCTTAATAAAGAAATAATAGTAGGCTAGGGGTGATGGCTCACGCCTGTAATCCCAGCACTTTGAGAGGCAGAGGCGGGCAGATCACGAGGTCAATAGATGGAGACCATTCTGGCCAACATGGTGAAAGGCAGGAGACTCACTTGAACTAGAGAGTCAGAGGTTGCAGTGAGCCCAGATTTCGCCACTGCACTCCAGCCTGGTGACAGAACAAGACTCTGTCTCAAAAAAATAAACAATAAATAATAAATAATAGTAGTCCTTTGGTTATGCATATATAAAATGCATCATATCATATCAAAAGGGAAACAGGTCTTTTTAGTACCATTGTATGAAATGGTCTGTTTATACTGATGTCAAAACACATACAAAAAATATATATTATATGATATAGATACATTAACACAGATTTGACCACAGTAAATGAATAATTTTATATTTTTGTTACAAATTATAAATTTTGTTATAATTACAACATTTTGTAATTTTGTATTTTTAAGTTAATATTATAATGTAATCATTTTCCCAGCAAACACAACTTTTAATGGTTCCCTCATGTAGATTTATCATAATTTGCTTAAATCATTTCTCCATCATGGAACATTTAAGCTACTTCCAATTATTTACTACAAAAACAGTAGGGCAGTGAACATTATGTTTAGTTTTTAAACACTTAGGGTTCTTTAGGATAGATTTTCAATAATTGACTTGTGAGGTAAAAGAATGAGGAATAATTTAAGGGTCTTGATAAATAGTGCCGTGATTTTTTCCCCAAAAGGATTATGTCAATAGGAGTCTCGTTAGCAGTATATTAAAATGGATCTTGCTTGCAGTTGTCAGGTACCTAAATAAGGTGATCCTTTTCTTAACCTTTTCTTTTTTTTCTTTTTTTCTTTTTTCTTTTTTTTTTTTTTTTTTTTGAGACGGAGTTTCACTGTTGTTACCCAGGCTGGAGTGCAATGGCATGATCTCGGCTCACCGCAACCTCCGCCTCCCGGGTTCAAGCAATTTTCCTGCCTCAGCCTCCCGAGTAGCTGGGACTACAGGTTCGTACCACCATGCCCAGCTAATTTTTGTATTTTTAGTAGAGACGGGGTTTTACCTTTTTGACCAGGATAGTCTCAATCTCTTGACCTCGTGATCCACCCGCCTCGGCCTCCCAAAGTGCTGGGATTATAGGCGTGAGCCATTGCGCCCGGCCGTCTTAACTTTTTCATATGACTCTCTTACTTGAGATTTTTATTTAAAGGTGGCTAAGAGTATTACCTGAAAATGGCTAAAGTTACCTTTTTAATGAATATATGCAGTTTACTGAATCCAGTATTTATCTATGGCTTTTAATGAATATAGAATTCGAAGTATAGAAAGTTTCTGATGTTAATTCTAATCCCTCTTCATTACTGAATGGTGAAATCCATAGTAAAACTGAATCAAAGTGACTGATACACCGCATGGAGGCACATGGACAGCCTTTGTGACCTTTGGAAACAGAGAAATTGAGGGAGAACAACCTGTCAGTTCTCCTTTACTAACTTAGCACTGCAGTTCCTTGTGGTGGTCATCAGACCAGATCTCAAGTACCTTCTTTCCCTCTCTTTCTGCACATGAGACCACACATTCCCAACTCCCTCTAAAGTTAACTGTGGGCATTTTGCTTGCTTTGGTCAGTGAAATGTAAGAGGAAAGTGACACAATTCACTTCCGGGTGGAAACTTTAAGAGCTAGTGTATGTTTTGCCACTTTCCCTTTTCATGCCTTGGTGATTGTGGAAGCAATGTTGAGATGAAGATTCCATCAGCTTGGGTCCCTAAGAGATTACAGTGAGCAGAGCATCCTTGCCAATTGCAATGGATATATAAGTGTGAGCAAGATATTAACATCTATCATTTTAAGCTCCTGAGATTTTTTCTTAAGTTGTTTGTTTATGCAACAAAATCTAGCCCATATTGACTGATACAGTCCTTTCAATGCAGTTGCATATGGGAGAATGGTTTCTTTCTCCACCTAAGTGAGTCAAAATATGTGGGTCGTCTTATTCCTGTGGATAGTTTCCTAGGAACTTCCACCTCCAGTGCCTTTACAGCCCTTTTAATCTCCAAAGAGCATACACCACTTTTCTTCTGATCATACCATACCTAGATTTTGCTTTGGAAACTGTTTCCTCTGTTTGAAGGTAAGAAAACCGAATCTCTTTTTTGTTCTATGCAAAGATGTAGAATAGAACTAGGAGTGTGATGCAGGGAAAATGTTGAAAGTTTATGTCAGGACTGATTTCACTAGTATTTCCCCATAACTGTGATTGGCCCCCATTTTTCCTTCACTCAGGTTCATTCATTGTTATCCTTCTAAATCCCATGGTTGTTCACAACTCAGGCAAGTCATGGTTCCCTTCTTTGACAAAGAATAATAATAAAAACGTAGATTTCTCTCACTTTCTCTTTTTGCGGTTCTCAAGGCAAATTTTAAACTACAGAATCTTTACCAACTGTATTTCTATTTCTGTGGCCCCACCACACAGTTTATTTGCTACTGCATGTGTCTTTATAAACCCTGAAGGTTAAGAATATTTCATTCACTGTTATTCTGCATAAATATCTAAAGCCTGAAAATTGTTTTTTTTTAACACGACTCTGATAGATGGGGTAGATAGGCTGTCCTAATTTTTTTGAAAGAGGCAACTTCCAAAGTTGGATTTGACATTGAGCTATTCTCCTTCATTATTAAAACAAAAAGACAAAAAAAAAAAAAAAAAACCAATTCTGTGGTTATTTCCTGTCTTGAATTATGGAAACCATCCAAGTATCTATAGCTGTCTGAATTTTGATGTTTGGGCATTTTGCATCCATTTATGTGAGTGTTAGACAGATGTCTTATTGTATGAGGAAATGACATGATACAATAGTTTAGAATGAAACCCCGGAGAGAAGCTTGGTTTGTACTCCCGACATTCTTTAATGCAAACTTGGGGTGATGAAACCTATCACAAAGGCTTGTTGTGAGCACTTAATGTGACTGTAATAAGGGAAAATAACATTGTTATTCACAGCCCCCATCACTTTTTAAATAAGGTGTTTAATTTGCTGATAACTGGGTATATAAGTATGCAGGTTTCGGGTGATAGGAAGGAAAAGAATCAGTGGGTCAGGGGGCTCTATGAGGGATGAAGGAGACAAGGAAAGCCTCAGCTGGCAGCAAAGCTGGAGAGTTGGGGAAGATGGTCAGCTCTGATGAGGATGTTTGCAGGAATTGGACGAGGAAGTGTAATGTAAGACCTCTGTAGTGTTTCCTTTTTGAAATTTTTAATGAAATCCATTTTTAAAAATCTTGAAATGCTGAGAATGATTGTGCTTCTTGTATAAAAATGGTGTGGAGGCCTACGTTCTTACTGTCATTAGGCTAAAACAGTCAGTCTGCAAAGGAGTAATAGCTTCCATCTTCATTATAAATGAAAACAGTTCCCTGCCTGACAAATCAAGGAGATCTAAAAATCTCTCTACACCCATTGTCTGAGAGAGAAGGAGGTGTTTTGTAACAAGGAACAAGAGTGGACATTTATAGCATCTGAACAGTGTTATATTTGCAGAGGTCTGTGATGCAGCAATTAGAGACTGAAGTAGCTGGCGATTAGCAATGAAGTTAAAGAAGACATTGTTTCTTTAAGTCTGAGATTTGGACAATTGGAGACAGAAAGACTAAGGATTCAAGTACAATGTAAAGAAATCAAGTGCTATAGTGAGGACTCGGACTGCCATGTAATATGGTCCATTGTGCATAGAGAGGTAGTTGTGGCCGATACTGAACTAGGTTGTGAGAGAATACAAGTATCTGGACCAAGGCTTCCATAGGCGTTTCTATAACCATTTATGGTTCATCATTCTTCTGTATCCTAGAGTAAACAATTTGGGGGGAATACAGTTGTGTTTGTAAACTATATAGTGGTTGTTTTGCTTTGTTTTGCATTTAAAACATTGTTTTAAATGTTTATTAACTTCATCATAAGTCATTTCTTAATGTAGGATCAGTTATTAATCAAACTTTTAAGAAAACTAGAAAAGACATGTAGGTACCTAACTTATATGGATACAAGGTTACATTTATGACTAAGTTTCTGAATCATAGAACGTAGATTAGATAAGAAGCCATCCTCATGAAAACCTGTCTCAAAACTCATCATTGTGTCATGCACTTGTGAATTGCACTTCCGTGTGTGTTTGGTAGCCCAGGATTTTCTTTTCAATATCCTTCCTCCTATTTATAAAAATAATAAGCACTATAAAAATAAACACTATAAGACAATACAAAATAGTTGGTTTGAGGGTTTCAGGTTATTGTTAAGCTGAGTAACATTGTCTTCCCTCACAATCATGCTTGACTAGTTTTTTAAAAATATAAAATGGGAAAGCCTAAAGAAGAAATTGAAAATCATACTTAATCTCACCATATAAATATAAACATTTTGTCCCATAGAATATTTAACATTGGGGTTTGGGAAATTAAGCTGATGAGCTCTATAAAAGACAACCCTGAAAATAAAAAATTTGTCCTCAGCCAGGATTAACATATATATCAATAAAGGATATGTGTGTGTGTATGTATCAATAAAGGACATATATCAATTGATATATATATAAATAAAGGATATGTGTGTGTGTATGTATCAATAAAGAACATATATCAATTGATACATATATCAATAAAGGATATGTGTGTGTGTATGTATCAATAAAGAACATATATCAATTGATATATATATCAATAAAGGATATGTGTGTGTATGTATCAATAAAGAACATATATCAATTGATACATATATCAATAAAGGATATGTGTGTGTATGTATCAATAAAGAACATATATCAATTGATACATATATCAATAAAGGATATGTGTGTGTGTATGTATCAATAAAGGACATATCAATTGATATATATATATCAATAAAGGATATGTGTGTGTGTGTGTGTGTGTGTGTGTGAATAAAGGACATATATCAATTGACATATATCAATAAAGGATGTGTGTGTGTGCGCGCGTGCGTGTGCACGCACATGTGTGGGTATGTATATATCCTTTAAGAATTCTTGAAATTTACAGAAGAACCCTTCAGTCTTTTTTATTATTCCTTAAGTACACAATGATTTCAGTATTTGGAATTGCAGAAATTAACATTTGATTTATTAAAATAATCTTTAGTTGCTTGCCAAATTTGTTTAACTATCTAATAAGAAAAGTGTTTACTCCGGGGGTTCCATCATAGCTGATTCATATGTGTGATGAAATACGTGAAAGTGTCTATTCTCTCCTTTATTATCATGAAATAAAAAGACATATTTTCTCTTTTATACACCTTTCATTGCAAGCTCACTGTTTAGTGTTCCTTAATCTCTTCACATGTTGTCTTTATTTTGTGTGTTACTTTTCTGATTTAACTCTGGAAAATAAGATAGAAATGAATGAAGAATGTAATGTGCAATGTGTAATGAAGATGTGTAAACACATCTCCTTCTTAAAAATTATTAAATTCTATGTGAAAATTCACAGAACCCTAAGTCCACAAAGGAATCTGCATACATGTCTGCATGAGAATGTTTGGTAAAATATTTTGGCAAGTTTAGTTACAGAAAGACTTGCATAGGAAGATAAAGTTTGGTAAGGACAATGTTTTCTGGGGATGTGTTTAACCTCCCCTAGTGGAGAGAAGGAAGTCTAGGGAAAACTCCCTAACTACTTTGATTAGTCTGTAAAATTTATCTAATTAGATGACTTCCTCTGAACACATTGGGCTTGCTAATTAGCTTTCACTTAGTTAAGCAAGAAAAAAACTGGACACCACTAAAAAAAAATTCTCACCCCTTACCCACTTATAAACTAGATCATCTTCATGAAGATGTTTAGAAATTAACTGAAATGTCATTAGCATATTTCATTTCTTAGTCAACCTAACAAGACAATTCCCTGATGTAGAAAATGTACCACTTTATTTTGAGTTGAAAAAAAAAAAAATCTTTTACCAGAGTTTTTCTCATCTGAATATTTTAGAACCAAGTCTTATCATTTCTAACCACAATCATCTACCAAAGAGGAAAAATTATCTGCGATTTTGAAAACACGCTTGCTGCTGCTGTGTTGAAGAAAAATGCATCTTATTAAAGCATCTTCAGCTGGCATTTTTCATGAATTGATGGACATCTGTTCAGCCTGGGTATTGTGCAGCTCAAAACACATTTATTCTCTCAGCATTCTTAAAGGGCTCTGTGCACTCTCTGAATGCCAAAGATAACATCTAGATCAGCAATTTCTCATAAATCATTGGAACATGGAACATGAAACAAGAAGAAACCAGGAATTCAATAATAAATACAGCAAGGTGCACAAACAAGAGAATTGAAACCAGATGAAAAGAAGCCTTTCAGAACAGAAGGTCAAGAAACACGTTTCCCCTGCTCCCTCAATCCTCAGAATAATCCCTCTGATTGTGCTTTCTATCCAGCCATCAGCTTACTGCTCTGAGTCGGTTTTGGAATATTTATGTGCTGGATTTAAGGCTTTAACATGCAACTGAAAAAATTAGTGTAGTTTATTTTAGTTTGCTCAAGGTTGCAGGCCATTATGCAACAAGGGGGTAAACAGTGTTTATTGTACTTTAAGGAGCACTGTGCCCATACACCCTAACATAAATTCCAGATATGGGTACATCAATGTAGTTCAATGTAATATATATATATATATATATGAAGTCACATAAATTATAATAAAGCAATATTGTTACAGAAAAGGGGGCCTAGATGGTTCTTGGATTTCATGCCAGAAAGAATTAGGAGTGAGTCCACAGAATAAAGTGAAAAGAAGTTTATTAGGAAAGTACAGGAATGAAAGAATGGCTATTCCACGGAAAGGGCAGTCCTGAGGACTGCTGGTTGCCCATTTTTATGATTATTTATTGATTATATGCTAAACAAGGAGTGGATTATTCATGCCTCCCCTTTTTAGACCGGATAGGGTGACTTCCTGATGTTGCCATGGCATTTGTAAACTGTCATGGTGCTGGTGGGAATGTAGCAGTGCAGGCCACCAGAGGTCACCCTCCTTACCATCTTGGTTTTGTGGGTTTTGGCCAGGTTATTTACTGCAACCTGTTTTATAAGAAACGTCTTTGTGACCTGTAACTTGTGCTGAGCGACCATCTCATCCTATGAGTAAGTATGCCTTAACTTACTGAGACTGCAGCCCAGCAGGTCTTATTAGCCTTATTTCAACAAGCCCCTATTCAGGATGGAGTTGCTGATTCGAACGCCTCTGACAATGTAACAGACTTCATTTTTAAACAAAAATGTCAGAATTTGTCAGGAGCCATGTTAGAAAAATATACATATTCTAACAATGTTGAACATAACTAAATATATTATGGAAATGTTGCTTTGAATCTTGAAAACTGAAGTCCATTCATTAAAATATTCTCTATGGTGATTAATTATCATCATTTGTCAGTGTGGCTGAACTTCTGGAAACATCATCATTTGGTGGCAAGTATAGCAAATGGTGTAGGGGAAATAATTTTGTTGTTAAAAACGTGGAATGCTTAGCAATGAAAGTGGTTTTGAAAGCATTTCCAAGGACAAGTTACGAAAGATGGCCAATGTCTTCCCACACGATTACTCAGTATGTAAGCTGAATATTGGGGGCTTTTTTTTGTATTTTGTTTTGTCTGTAACAGCCTTGTTTTACTCTTTTAAATATTTTAGTTTAATTTAAAGTGCATGAGCGCACACTTATAAAATGAATCCTAAGTCATCATTATAGACTAAAGAAATGATCATAGGAATAAACAGTCTATCACTGCAAGTTCAGATTTATACACACTTGCATGCTGTTTGTTATTTTAAAAAAATCTGAATGCTTTCATAGCATATTTTGTGATTATATCATCTTTGACATACTAAGTTGATTTATTTTGGTCCTTTCCAGCTCTCCTTAAATTTAACTTTTTACCCTTGATTTTAGTGCTCCATATTAGGCTTATCAGAAATAAACCATTGCAACACAGAAAAAAATCCCCTCACACTCACCTCCTTTAGTCCCCCACTGTGGATAACTTCCTTCCATGAAGAGACGTATTATCCCCCCTGGTCACTATTCAGAAGCCGAATTCTGTTTCGTTACCTAGGTTTCTTGCTACACAGGTAGGCATTATCACATGTGGGTAAGCATGTGGATCTGGCTCTCTAGCCAGAAAAGCGGAGTCCAAGATGCACTCCTTCCACTTGCCAACCATTACCCAAGTTGCTCAACTGCTCTGTGCCTCAGTTTTCTTTTGGGCAAATTGGAAATTACTGTAGCTCCTAATCTGTAGATTGTAAATTTTAATGAGTTTAAAACACTGCAAAGAGTTTCTGGTAAATGGTGAATCTCAATAAACATTTGCTATTATTAGTATACTAAAATAAATATATAGGCAGAGCAAGGTGGCTCACACCTGTAATCCCAAGAAGATTGCTTGAGGCTAAGAGTTCAAGATCAGTCTAGGCAACATAGAAAGACCCCCATCTCTACACAAAGGGGGAAAAATAGCTAGGTGTGGGCATGGTGGTGCACTCCTGTAGTCCTAGCTACTTGGGAGGCTGAGGTAGGAGGCTCACTAGAGCCCAAGAATTCAAGGTTACAGTGAGTGATGATCATGCCACTACACTCCAGCCTGGGCAACACCGCAAGATCCTAGCTGTAAAAATTAAAAGAGAGAAGAAAAAAGAAAATCAATTAAATTAGTAAAATAGATATACAGAGTGAGTCTTCTAGCTGTATAATTTATTACATTAATTCCCTACATTAGATAGTTTCTAAATTTTTGCTGTTATAAATGATGTGACAACTTTGTTCATTATTGTTTCCTTAAAATAATTGGAGTTTATGGGCAATTTTATTGTGTGGGTGATTTTTTTTTTTTTTTTCTTTTTTGGTAGAGATGAGGTCTTGCTACGTAGCCAAGGCTGGTCTTGAACTCCTGGGCTCAATGATTCTTCCGTTTCAGCCTCCGAAAATGCTGGGATTGCAGGTGTGAGCCACCATGCCTGGCCTCAGAGTACATTTTTAATCCTTTTAATTTTGTTTTCCAAATCAGCCATTCGAACTGCATCAACTTATATCACATCTATAGAGACTTAATATCTATAGCTAACCACGCACCTTTCAGTGTGCACATTAGCAGAATCCCTCTCTACCGCTTTAATACATTAGCTGCCTCTATACATTCAACACACACTGATCACACAGAAAAACAGGTGTTACTGGTTCAATCACCCAAACCATTTATATTATTGCAAATGCCTGGTTCTTCCCCATTGCCTTTGTCTTTCATCTTGGTTCCATTTCCTGTCTTATCCCTACTTCTTTCTCCTTACAACCTGTTGCAGCTTCAGAGAAGTGCAAGCTCCCGATCTCAGAAAATGTCTTCTGACCTGCTATCACTGGAGTTCTTAAAAGCTTAGGGTCCCTGCTGCACCAAGGTCTGGTCTTCTTCCTTTAAGCCAGATGAAATAAAAGAAGAATACTAAAGAAGGCTTACAATGAAAGCAGAGGCAGAAAACAGCAAAAGAAGAGGAGAAACCTCTACCGTGAGCATGATTCTAAGGTAGGACTCATGTATGTGGAAGTCCTTTACACACTAAAACAAAAACATTTAAGAGACATCCTCAGGTGTAGAAACAAGGCATAGAACAGAGTGTAGTGTGTGTCAGCATTTGCATTTTTAAAAGTCCAAGAATATGTGTGCGTTGCTTGTTTATGCGTAGTATACATCAGATAGCATACGAAAGACCCCGTAGCTCTGATGACCCCATTAAAACATCCCAGAACAAGGATATAAAAGGATTCTTTTCATTCCCTATCCTTTTATACGGTTTGATTTTTTTTTTTTTTTTTTTTGACAGTCTCCCTCAGTTGCCCAGGCTGGAGTGCAGTGAAGTGATCTCACCTCACTGCAGCCTCCTCCTCCCAGGTTCAAGCAATTCTCCTGCCTCAGCTTCCTGAGTAGCTGCGATTACAGGCATGCGCCACCATTCTCAGGTAATTTTGTTTGTTTTTTAGTAGAGACAGGGTTTTGTCTTGTTGGCCAGGCTGGTCTCAAACTCCTGACCTCAGGTGATCCACCCACTTTGGTCTCCCAAACTGCTGGGATTACAGGCATGAGCCACCGCGCCCAGACTGAATTTTGAACTATATGAATGTATTATCTATTCAACTGTAGATAAGTGAAATATGTTAAAACTTTTCTCTCATTAGTGAATACCTTGTATTACTCCTTAACTTACATAAATGACGCTTTTCTCTTTAGAACCCACACCCTGTCTTTATCCTAAATTGTCCTATTAGCATACATAATAAAGGACCCCAGGGACTAAAAGGCATTCTTCTGACAAAATTGTTAATCGTAAATTTCAATTATCCACAGCCTGCATATGACACAGCTCTGTCAGATAAAATCCTTCCAGGTTATCTTCATTTTCTGTTGGATAATAACTAAAGGTTTGGGAGGGAAAGGCAGCAATTGCTTCTAGGTTTCAGACTAGAGGCAGGGTTAGGGGAAAAAATCCTCAGCTTTCCTTTTTTCTTTTCTTTCTTTTTTTTTTTTTTTTTTCAGAAGGAAGAAGCTCATTATGTTTGGACCACCCACTGCTATAGATTCTAAAAACATTTTGGCTTTTCTTGAGGTGCCTTAATAAAATATAACCCCAAATGATTCGCTTAGACAAGTAGTCTTAACAGCAAGGAAAGCAAACCCTTTGTGAAAACAGCCATAAACCTTCTATCTTTTATCTTTACCATTTTCGCTGAGTCTGACATGAAACAGATCCACACCAGCCTCCACGGGGGTTAAATAGAGAACCATCCAAACATCACAGAGTGTCGTCCAGAATTTTGATGACTTCCATTCGTTGATTCTGGTGCAAAATGCCTGGCTTGGGATAAAGAGACCATGATGCCCCTCCCAGAACATACACTTGCATAGTGTTCCAGGAACAGCAGCTCATTCCAGCCCCCAGCACAAGATGCACATGTCTCAGAACGAGCCTCCATCCTTTTCCTAGAGAACTGAGCATAAATAGCTTGTTCTATATCTGGCTCCAAGTCCATTTCTGTTCTGTCTTGGAGTAGAGTCTGAGCTCCCAGTTTGTTTTAGGTCAACTTTCAGCGTCTACTTCAGCTCACTTGTTTGATCTACTAAGCTCTTGCTCCTGTGTTTTATCAAACGTAGGGATGTAGAGAGAATCAAAGGATCTAGGTACCTGCTTTTAGGGGAGATCAGAACAAAGCTGGAGGCAGATGCGTTAGTTCCTGGATCTCCAGATCGCAGAGCAAGGGACCCACTCTGGAGCCTAAACTCTACGAGAGACCACAGAGCAGCCTTAAATACAAAGGAGTTTTACACAGGAAAAAAACCAAATACTATGAGGAGTTACATTAAATAGTAATAGTATTGTTTTGAATGGGGTTGTGGGTAATTCCTACATTCTTCTTTATAACTTTTGTACTTTTCAAATTCCCTAATGTGAACTCACTGCTTAGTAGGTCTGTAAGCTTAATAATTACTATCATCTGGAATCTTATTTCAAAAAAATCTTTAAAATGGAGACAAGAGGAAACATTCTTAGCCCCTATGAAAGAATAAATGAGGTCATAATCATACAGTGCCTGGCATGTTGTGGTCACTCAATAAACACTGCTTTCCTCCCCACTGTCCTCTTCTTTATGCTCTGCTTTCATTACAAGGTCAGCAGATTGGATCAGGACCAGCTGGGAGGGCTACTTCTATGAGAGATCTGTCCACAATCATAGTTTTTAATGTTCAACGCACCAGAATCACCTCGAGGGCTTGTTAAAACAGACTGCTGAACACAGCACATCTATGAGAATGGCCAAACGCTGATAAGGGTGTGGAGCAAGAGAAACTCTCATTTACTGCTGGTGGGAATGCAGAATGGTACAGCCACTTTGGAAGACAATTTGCCAGATTCTTACAAAATTAAATGTACTCTTACTATACAATCCAGCAATCATGCTGTTTGGTATTTACCTAAAAAAGTTAAAAACTTATGTCTAGACAGAAACCTGTACATGAATGTTTATAGCAGTTTTATTCATAATTGCTAAAACTTGGAAGCAACCAAGAAACCCTTCAGCATGTGAATGGACAAACTGTGGCACATGCAGACGATGGAATATCATTTCATTCAAATGAGCTGTCAGGTTGGTGCAAAAGTAATTGCAGTCTTTGCCATTATTAATACTGTTAATTGCAAAACCTGCAATTACTTTTGCACCAACCTAATATTAAATCATAAAAAGACTTGGAGAAAACTTAAGGGCATATTACTAAGTGACAGAAGTCAATCTGAAGAGGCTACAGACTACATAGTTACAATTATAGGAAATTCTGGAAAAGACAAACTATGGAGGCAGTAAAAGGATCAGTGGTTGCTAGAGGTTAAGAGGAGGGAGGGATAAGTAAACAGAGCACAGGAATTTCAGGGTGAAACCGTTCCATATAATACTACAATGGTGGATACATGTCATTAATTATATGTTTGTCCAAACTGATAGAATATACAGCACCAAGAGTGAACCCTTAATGTCATGTATGGACATTGGGTGATAATGATATGTTCACGTAGGTTCATCCGTTGTAGCCAGTGTACCACTCTGGTGGGGGATGTTGATCATGGGAGACGCTATGCATTTGTAGGGGCAACAGGTGTATGAGAAATCCCTGTACCTGCCTCTCAGTTTTGCTGTGAGCCTAAAACTGCTCTAAAACATAAAGTCTTTATGAAATAAATTTGTTTAGGAAAAGAAAAAAAGCAGACTGCTAGGTCTCACCCCCAGGTTCTGATACAATAGGTCTGGGGTAGAGCCTGAGCATCTGCATTTTTAGTGAGTTCCCAGGAGCTGCTGATGCTGCTGGTCCAGCAGGCACACTTTATTGGTCCAGAGAACACACATAGATCTACAAGATCCACAACAAAAGTCCCTTTCAAATTAGTCTAAATGTAAGTATCTGGTTGCTTCTTTCTTGTTTCTCTGTATTTCTTCCCTTCCTTTCTTCCTTCCTCCTACCTCTCAGTTCTTTATCTTCATATTTGAGAGTTTTAGAAACCACACTATATTTCTCACCTCTGTTCTCACCTCTGTCAGCAGCTCAAGTCTCTTCTTATGTTAAGAAACCAGGAGGGAGCAACGATGTGGTTTTGTGTTGAGTATCTTATTTCATTCAGATACTGAGAAAAAGAGAAACAAGCATTCTCTGGGTTGTTTGCTAATCTGAACTGTTATTGTCTGTTCATAATGGAAAGTCTTTTTGATGACTGATGCTTTTAAAAAAATTGGAAACCCTATAGGCTCCCTGTTGCCAAAGACTATTTTTGACATTTTAGAGTTTGTTTAATCTTTTATCAATATAAATATTTGAAAAATAAAACAGGAAAATGCCCATGGAAAACATTTCAGATCGGTGCTTGGAAGGACAGAGCAAGTTCAGCGTGAAGCCTGTTAAAGCCCCCTCATCTTCCACTCAAAAGCCGTGTCTTTTCTGCAGCCTGTTAAAGCCCCCTCATCTTCCACTCAAAAGCCGTGTCTTTTCTGCAGCCTGTTAAAGCCCCCTCATCTTCCACTCAAAAGCGGTGTCTTTTCTTGAGGCCCATGAGCCCACTGAAGTTGGATACAAAGTGCTGTGTTTCCTTAATGTGCATTTTTCTGGGAAGAAGTTTACGGCCTTCAGTGGATTTTCAGAGGGATTATGACACAAAAAAGATGAACAAATACTGCCATGGGGATGTGCTTAATCAAAACCCACATCTTAATTTTTCCATAAAGGAAGTAAATTTCTAGTATGGGAGCATGGGGTGGTGAGAGTCCCGTTGAAAGAGGAGTGAGGCACAAACGCTGCCGATGAGCTAGCAAGATACCACTGTCTCAGCCTTTCTCCTTGTTAGAGCAGAGAAAATAAAAAATGTTTCTGGGCGCGGTGGCTCAGCCTGTAATCCCAGCACTTTGGGAGGCCAAGGCAGGTAGATCACAAGGTCAAGAGATTGAGACCATCCTGCTCAACATGGTGAAACCCCGTCTCTACTAAAAATACAAAAAATTAGCTGGGCATGGTGGCGCGTGCCTGTAATCCTAGCTACTCAGGAGGCTGAGGCAGGAGAATTGCCTGAACCCAGGAGGCAGAGGTTGCGGTGAGCCGAGATTGCGCCATTGCACTCCAGCCTGGGTAACAAGAGCGAAACTCCATCTCAAAAAAAAAAAAAAAGGTTTTCCTAAATGAGTTCTTATCATGTTTAGTGAGAGGTTTGTAAGGCCCTTAGCATAGTATCTGGTACATGACAGATGCTAACTAAATGGCAGCCAGTAACAGTGAGGTCCTGCTGGCGTGCTGTTTTATGTTGTCCTATGGTGATGGCTACACAAGCACTAGAAGCAAAGATCTTTGGCATACCTTTGATTGGAACCGAAGGATCAGTGGTCTCTCTCTGTGAGATAGGGGTTATTACCTTTATTTTACCAGAAGTGAAACTCCGGTTCATTTCCAAAGGACTTGGGGTGGGTGTTATTTTATGTTGCATTCGCTTTTTAGAGTCATCTTTTCTGCCAGTGAAGCTGAATCATGTCATTACATACACATACCAGCATTTTACCTCTTGTGTCTTGCAGGAAGTATCATGATTTCCAAGCACTCAACCTCTGAGAAGGACTGGTCAAGATGGGATCTTCGAAAACATCTTGGCAGAGGCTGGGAAGCGCTGATGGGTAAAGTTTCCTCCATGTCCTTTCATGACCTTGTCTGGTTCTCGACTCTGTGCTCTGCCTCCGAATCACTGCCATGGCAAGGAGTCATGCTCATCCCCGCTGTGTCATGCTCCCTAGGAATTAGTTTTGTACTTAAGCAAAAACTTGGCTGAGAAAGTGAAAATATAACATACGCTCATGCACAAAATGATAGCACACACATACCACTTAAAATATTTTGTTTTCTGAAAAAAAGTGAAAACAAACAGACTCCAAATTAAGATAATATTTTAACTTAACTTACACTGTTGAGGTTGATGATAACACTCAGCAGAAATGCTTACTGCTACTCCCAGCTAATTAGTCTCTTGTGTTTTTACAGTTCCTCCTCTTAGCCAAGGAGTGAGGTCCTCGCTACTCAACATGTGGTCTATGCACCAACAGGATTAGCATAACCCGGTCACTTGTTAGAAATGCAGAATCTCAGGCCCACCACAGACCTGCTGAGTCCAAAATGTAAATTTTAACAAAAGCTTCAGGTCATTCATATGCATATTAACATTTAAGAAGCGTTCGTTTAGGTAGCCAAATACTTTCTGCTGAGCACATTTCCAGGGCATGGAGAGAGCTTTCTGTTTATTGCCTTTCTTCCTTCCAGTACATTGGAGGGTCAGTACCAGAGCACCTCTCTGCTCTCTAGAATCTTTCTTCTTTTCCTCCTTCTTCCTTCTTTTTCTTCCTATCTTTTTCCTCCTCCTTCTTCATTAGAGACAGAGTCTCACTATGTTGTCCAGGCTGGTCTGGAACTCCTCAGCTCAAGTGATCCTCCCTCGTTGGCCTCCCAAAGTGCTAGGATCAGGCTGGGTACAGTAGCTCATGCCTGTAATTCCAGCACTTTCGGAGGCTAAGTTGGGCTGATCAGTTGAGATCAGGAGTTTGAGACCAGGCTAGCCCAAAAGGCGAAAGCTTGTCTCTACTAAAAATCCAAAAAATTAGAGGATGTGGTGATGCACACCTGTAGTCCCAGCTACTCAGGAAGCTGAGGCAGTAGAATTGCTTGAACCCAGGAGGTCGAGGTTTCAGTGAGCTGAGATCGTGCCCCTGCACTCCAACTGGAGTGACAGAGCGAGACTCCATCCCCAAAATAAAAAAAAAAAAAAAAATACATAAATAATTAAAAAAAAAAAAGGCAGTAGGATTACAGGCACAGGCCATCACACCTGGCAAACCAGCCTCCTTATTCTCTTTTTGTGGCTTCTGTCTCACTGAAGCATCCAAGGATGTGTCCCATGTTGATCAAGATTGATTGCCACCCTCTCCTGAAAAGCCCAGAGCCAGCAAAAATCAGAGGCCAGGCAGAAACAATTCTCCATTCCACCAAAATTCTTCGTTGTGGGCACTAATAGATAAAGTGTAAAGGCTCTACTTCCCAATAACAGCATTCCTAGAGCAAGTTTTTAATGACTTAAAATGAAAGAAATTGTTGCTCAGGATTCTAATAAGAGCATGCTGGAAAAAAAAAGGAGAGGTTAGGAAGTGATGCGAGCAGAGAGAGAGGCATTTAAAATAGAAACGCTGTGGGCCTTGCTGGGACAGTGTGCTATGTATAGGTAAGCCACTTACCTAACACTTTCTGTGTGGGAAAGCGCTGTACCCAGTTCCACAGTGATGATTTTCAGAGAGTGCGCTTGCATTTCCAGTAGTGAGTTTGAACCCGCTGTTGGCCAAGAGCCAGATGACTATGTGGATCCTGGGACTGTCATTTCAGTATGCGTCCCTGTTTTAAGGGTAGCAAGGATTAGCTGTTAGTCAGGCACAGTAAGACACGCAGACACGGAAATGACTGTCCTGAAGGAAGAAGTTTTTATGCTCACAGATCCCTAGAAGCAGGGAGGGCAGCAGGTTGCACAGGGCCACATAGGGAAGCATTCAGGAGGCAGAGGGAGCAGGAAAACATGGGCGAGAGCCTTTATTGTGCTTCATAGGAAGAACCAGGCGAGGCTGAGTAAGCAGGTTCAGGGCAAATTAGAACACTTCTAGTGAGCTCTGGGGTATGGGAGCTGTATCCAGCTGCCTTGTAGCTGGCCCTGGGGCGATTAGGGCAAATCCCAGAGTGGAAGAGTCCTGGGAGGGTTCAATAAAATGGTGCTTGTGGATTTGGGCTCTGGATTGTTTGATTTGTGTATGAAAGGTGCACTCACAGGCTAATTGCTTTCTCTAGTAATTAGCTAACGTTGGGAGGGGCAGTCCCTCCAGGGTCAGCGAGGCCTGAAAATGTCAACACATCAGAAATATAAAAAGGCACAGTTAATACCGGCCTAACTAAATGGAATGAGTCTTTGAAGCCAAAGTCTGCAAAAGTTCAGTTCTCTTTTCAAGCTGTATCTATATATACACAATCATTCTGACCATTTTGAGGGAAGAACTAAAATTCAATTCTGTATGCTGTTCATCTAATGTACACTTATTAGTGGATAAACTGAGTAATAATTTGGGGGGTGACTAGGGAAGGTGGCATTAGTGAGCCCTAATTTCAGGAATATAAGCCATGCTGTTAGGGATATCCAGTAACTATCTCCAAGAGGGATGGGACCTGTGGTTTCTGTTGCTATTATTATTAAAATGGTGTCCTGACTTGGGAACAGAACAAATGATGGCAGCTTCCCAAAGACACAGGGAGAGAAAAAGCAGGTTGAGTCCCTGAGGGTAGAAATCAACAAGAGGACCTTGTCAGGGATCAGCCTTTGACGTGAGGAGCCCTGGGATTCTGCGGGAGGAGGTCCGGTGGGGTCTCCTCTCAGGCTCAGGGGGGTTAAGTGATGTGACAGAGGTCACAGAGGTAGAAAAAGGCAGATCCAAACCCTAAATCCAACTCAGTGGGCTTCTTAGCCTGGAGAAGTCTGGGGTAGTGTTTCTCAAATTTTAGCTGCTTCCAAATCACCCAAAGGTCTTGTTAAAACAGAGTGCTGGGCTACAGCTCCAGTGTCTGGTTCAGTAGGTCTGGAGTGGGCTGTGAGTTTGCATTTCTAAGTTTCCAGGCAATGCTGGTGCTGCTGGTCCAGGAACCGTACTTTGGGAACTCCTGCTGTATAAACTTCCCCCGCTAGATAGAGACAGTTCTAATACGGCTTTCCTCACAGGCCATTACCATGTTCCTAACTCCTAAAAATGGCTTGTCTACTGGACTATAGCAGAGACGCACATTAATGAGTAGTAGGGACAGGAATGGTCATTGTTTAAATGTCTCCTCCTTCCCACTTTCTTTCTCATCTTCCCCTTCCCTATTTTCTCACTGGGGAAAGATTTTGGCTTAACAGTCAACTCCCAGGTTCTTCTCTAAGATGTTGAAACCTCCAACTAGGCAAAACAGAAAATAAAGGAAGCCCGAGAGGCTAAATCGCTGTAAATTAATGTTGAAAGAAAAGGAAACAAATATTACAAATCCACTTTGGCTAGGCATTGCAAAGACCCTTGGGGGAGAATTGAGAGTGGAGTAGAGAGTAAGAGGCTCTGGAATCACTGCAGGAGGTTAGAGAGGAGGAAAAGAGAGAAGAAAGGTTCAGTGGACTATGGCCTAAATGTTATTCATAGCCTTCAACAGATATAATTAGAGATTGAAGTGATTTTTACTCCTGAACTATCTCTTTGATTGTAATATCACGAGTCTGGGTCAATGGGCTCTAGGACTAATCTGGAACACAAAATTGGTCTTAGAATAGTGGTGATGGCTTTATTTAGACTCATTCTCTCCATTCCATATCAACAGATGGCAAGAAAGCCAGCTAGAAAGGCATTATCAGGATACCCAAGGAAATACAAGAACAGTAATGGTGCGCATTTAATTTTGAGTCATTAAAAAATTCGTACTAGGATTCTTCTTTGTTGCCTCCAAACATTCAGTAAAAGTTTATTATACAAAACAGCAATGTCTTGGAGAATGTGGAAGAAAGTAGTGTGTCTGAAATGGGAACCAAGTGATAATGAAGAGGATAGCAACTGATAAGAGCAGTGATGGGAAAAGTAGAGGAGATGGAAATGAGACCAGGAGTGGAGACTTGGAGTGAGAGGTGACAGGTAAGCATGAAAAGAATATAAAAATTGTAGAAAGCACTGGGTTCCTTACAGGCTCTAATAGTTTTTTTGACCATTAAAGAGTTGATTCCAAAAGCTGAAGAACAGTGGTTCCTCTTAATGCTAGAGAAGAGAGTTGGATCCTTTACTAAATTTTAATAACTCTTATAACTTATTTAAATGTACATATGATCTATCTTGAAAGAGGACAGCTGTTATGCTGAGTCAAGTCACCAGAAGGTATTTCAGGATATGATGAAGAAAGATATTAAATAAAAACATCATAAGAAAGGCTGCGTTTTGTAATGTTCCTAAGTGGATTCACCTTGATCAGAGATTTGGACAAGGGGTTAAACATCTGGATTACAGGAAATAAATTTAAACAGTGTCCATATTTTCCAAGAACCACAAAGCCTGATTTAACTTAACCAGTTGGTTTTTAGACTGAAAATCACCTGCCTGCCTCTGAAATACTAAATTGTATCCTCTTGAATGCGATTTTAGCTTTCAAATGCACAGCAACCTGACACAGGATCAGTAATTTCTGTATTCTTTGTGGTTCAGTTTTCTAGAATTTTAGGAATGCTGCCCTCATTGAATCCAACCTTTTCAGACTATAGAATTGAAGAATGTCTCCTATTTTTATGATGTATCACACTTATCATAGTATTATTTTCTATTATGTCACTATCATTTATATTATTACCATATGGCGTATCATGTATATATCATAAAAATAGCCTGAATCAACAGCCCAATAAGCCTGCCATGAGCAGGCTCGGAAGATAGATACCCATGTCTGTGGTGTGAACTGGAAAACAGTTCTGCTAAGGTGCCCAACTTCTTTCTTGGGACAAAGGCTCTTTTACTCAGAAAGGTAATACATTAGACAGTTTAAGTGAGCTGCATTGTAAGAGGTCTCTGACATCCCAGAATCCCAGTTTTACCATTACTAGCTTAGTATCTCCAACCTCAGTGTTC